GTCATATTGATTTGTAAAATCCCCTCAGGTGATTCTATCTTGCGAATGGACCAACAGTGGTGATTTATTAAAAGGCTGCTTTTTGAAAGGTGTTCTGAATGTAGCCTACAGCAGCTGCTATTTCATCAAATATATCCCTCCTTCTGCCTTCTGTCGGTGAATATCTCTTGCTAACCCGAAGTTATACCTAAATTGAATTATTTTAGTAATTCTGTTTCTAGTACGAACTGTGTTGGCACTGAAATATGGGGAAGAGTAACTGTCTTATTTCTGTGGCTGTATCAACAGTAACCTTAAGCAAGTTTAGACAAATGCAGTGTAGATTAAGAGCGATATTCTGCTTCCAGCTATATCAGTTAAATTTTTAAAAATCCTGTTACTGGTATTGTCTTCCTGGCTACTCTGTGGTATTGCCATAATGCCTGATGCTCTGGTTCTGACTGGTGCTGCCTGGCTAGCATCACACAGCACATAAGCAGAATGAATGTGATTTACAGAACAGGTCATTTGTAGCCACTTGTGTGTCAAATTCAGCACTGACAGACAATCTTGTATATGTGTGGGTCATCTGGCAGTTAAGATATCAATCCTTACGAAACCAATTTGACATTTTACACTTTTTCCTGATGGGTAACGAATTAATACATGTTATGCTGCATTGATATCTGCTCACTTCTCCTGAACAATTTATACCTGGTTTGCATCATTATTTAATCTGGTCCACTATGAAGCAGCACAGAACCATTTTGTTTTCTCTCTATTTCTCTAACAGTGTACTTCCTTAAAGGAAAATTCAGGGGAGCCAGTTGCACATGTTTATGTTGAAGTGGGACAAGTACCTGAACGGTTAATAATTTGATTCAAATGGAAGTCTGAAATACCCATATGAGTTAGAATTAGAACTGGGGTTTACCATTTTTAGAATTTTTGATTGATTATTAGAAACCAATAGATGGAGATATGCTGTATCTTATTAACTTTAAAAAATATTTCCCTACTTCATTAAAATAGGCAAAAAATAAATTCTGCTTTCTATATCAAGCTAGCATTTGAATACAACTGGAAGGAAAATTTTAGCTTCTCTTTCATAATCCCTTCTGAGTTTAGTTTATTTATAAAAAGGACATTTACCTCTTGGGTCATCTACTTACTTTTTCTTTGCATTTCAGAGCAGCTATAGATTTTACAAACAGCATGGCAGAAGGCTGTTGGTTTTACTTTACTTTGCTCAGCAGCAGCACTGGTGAGAGAAATATCAGGAGTGTTCAGGATATGCACAGTAAAACCACTCAGAAAACTAAAGAAATCAGAAATCTTTGGTCATCTTCCATAAGCACCAGAAATAACTGAAGGTTATCCAGAATTGATGCTTTATATGTCTGAACATGGAGCAGGCTTGCTGAAGTCCACAATTTAAATCAGTTGACAGCTCTGCCCTCCTGGTGCTTTGCTTTTGCACACCCCTGCCTCACTGTCATGGTGCCTCTGACACCCAGCTTGTTCTGACTGAAGACAAGGATCCTCCATACCAGTCTTCTTGTTCCCTGTTCAGCTTTCATCACTAGTGCCCTGGATGGAGTTACTGGGGCACTGTCCTCAGCCAGGACTCAGTACTCCAGGGCTGCATTACCCAGCGCCAGCCCTCCCTGTGGGAATTACAAAATCTACCACAGCTCTGGAGTTTGCAGAATGATGCACCAAAAAAGGAGGAAGATACAAAGCAGCACTCAGGTTTTATACGCTTGCTTTGGACTAATAACTACTAAGGCAAATAAAACTTCCAAAGCAGCAAATGATGCAAAGTAGCAAATGATGCAAAGCTGACAGGAGCTCCTGTCCACCAGCATACCAAGGGGGTGATAAATAAAAAGGAAGTTCATTTTCTATTAGGAGAAGGAAATGTTTCTCCCCATATATAATGTGTGCCAGGGCCAAGAATTGGACATGATAGACAAACGTTACTGTTGATAACTGTAATATTCCCAGATGTAATTATTTATGGAAGCAATTTGAAAGTGACAAAAAATTTCATGCTTCAGACCTCAAGGCAATACTTACTCAAACCTAAACCCAAGCATGAACAGTAAACTATGGATTACTGGGTTACTTTCTCCTTTACCAAACCCCTAATCTATTATGTAGTCATCTTTTAAGTCAGCAACATATACCAAGTTTGCCTGAGACAAGTCTTAGTCACATTATTCACCGAAGTTATCCTATTTACTTTACTAGAACTACTTGAATGATTAAAGTAAATAGAATTTGGTGGCAAGATTTGCCTCACAAATGCATGTCTCCACCTGATTTTGTCAGTCTCCAATTAGTCCCAGATTTCTGTGTCTCTGAAACTGTTGTTCCAGATATGAACTCATTAACTGTGTAGAGATGGATTTTTTTTATTCCCTGCTCAGTATTTGATCTCTGTGACTGTAGCTTAGGAATTAATCGGATTTCTTCTTGCCATATTTCACTCTAAATATGTAGCCAATTTCTCACAAGCTTCCAGTCTTTCCTCTGATTTCTTCTACTTGTTGGGATTTTTAAATCCTGTTTAGTGTTCATGATCAAATACTTGCCAGAATACTGCAGTTACTTTAATACTTGATGGCTTTAAAACATGTCACCACATTGAAAGAATCAGAAATTTCTAGAATAAAATATTCAATCCTGGGGGTGGGGGGAAAGGGAGGGGGGGGAAGCAAGTTGTTTTGGTTTTGCCACAAGGAGAATTTTTCTTTTTTAGAAATGTAAATGAAGATTAAGTTAGCTATGAAGGCTGCAACAGAAGTTTAACATTTATATTCATTAGACAGAGAAGTGATCTGCTGCCCAAGTAGTAGGGATATACTTACTTGTGATGTTTCATTATCACATTTACCATATGTTTCATTTTTCACTGCTATTCTTTTGCATGAAGACAGACAGTAAAAAACAGTAAAGTAGTTACAACAGTGATAACCTGTCCTATGTTACAGGTAAAATTGGCTTCTTGTGCGGGATATCACTCACTCTATTTCACCCCATTGTCTCTATTTCTAATTTTTGCCAGCACTTTGATCACTTGCATCTACATTTGCAGGGAGAAGGTGAGGGAGCAGCATTATGGCTACTGTCTTATTGGAAACATTCCTTAGAGCCACTGCTTGAGCTCATTAGACACTACCCTGATTTCCAAGCTTTACAGCCCCTCCCTTCTTCTATGAACTTTCTGTATTCCCCAAAGCATCTTAAAAATTTCAGGTTCTCTTCCTCCTTAACTGCTGTTACAAAAGTGACAGAAGATAAGATTGGTGATAGCACAACAAAATGGCACTTCAAAAAACACCCAGTCTTAGAATCTGAAGAGCATGCTTCACGTGTTTTACGTGTTTCACTCTGTTAGAGCAATTTAGCTCAGAGCAAGACTCTCTTTAGATCTTTACCAGAATTGAGCAACATCAGTAGTAATTCAAAGTGTTCTTTAAATGAAGGTTTTTGCTTCCCAGCTCTGCCTTACTCTGTTTTATATATGACCACCCTTTTATTTATGATTATCAAGAATCAGTGTTTAAAAGTCGTTTTCTCTAGGCTCACTTTTCACATATACCGACCTGGTGACACAGGCTCAGAAGTTCCCAGGTGTTAATAAATTCCTAAGCTGCTCTCTTCACTCTAGAAAGCTGCAACATATCCTTATATCAAAAAGCACAACTGGAGAGGCTGACTTCAGCACTCATCAGCCCGTATTTGTGTAATGGGAAGAGGAATTCTTGTAGAATCCTTTTTGGACTCAAGTAATCCCAATTCCAAGGTTACCTGAGTAATGTCAATGCATTTAGTAACACCAGAAAAAGGCAAACTTTTTCCTTAAGTCATTCAGTCACTCTGCATGGATATATCATGTTGCTTCAGCATTATCAATATCATAGAATCATAGAATCACAAAATGGCCTGGGAAAACAAAGCAATTTACTTTATCTTCTCGTAACTATGCAAGAAATTAATTAGACTTGGTTTTTCCACACAGGAACACAGACAGACATATCACAATGGAATTTTTAACACTTGCTAATTTTATGAATTATGATTATATGTGCTTTGTGAAAAATACTCTTCCATTACAGAAATGCTCTTTTTAGTACCAGAAGAGTGTAGTGGGCTTAGACAATTAGAAAATTCAGCTGTGTGATATTAATGACTACATATTAATCTCTATGAAATTTCTAAAATTTTGCAAGGAAGCAGTATTGGCACAGTTCTGCATCTGTTGAGCTTTCTTGGATGTTTTATTGAGCCTTACGCTGCAAGACAGGATCTGTGTTAAACCAGCCTCACTACTGCTCTGCTCATCGAAGTCTTAGTAGCTTTGCATATATTATAACAGTTTTTACATGCCTTGAATTTCTTTTTATTAACTCTATTGTGGATATTTTAAAAATATATGCCTCTTACACAAGTCAGTAACCAACCTTGCCTAATTCCAATCAGTGAATTGAGAAGTATTTTAAAAGGTTGAAGTGTGGCATACCATAAAGAAGTTACTGAATAATATTTTGTTCCAGTATAGTGATGCTACTTTCTTAATACACTGTATCCATACAGAGCTCACAGTTCAGATGATAAGAAGAGGGAAAAAAAATTTTCCTTTACTTCTCCTATGAGCTTTATCCCATGTGGGTACAACCTCAGAAGCCCCAATGTGTACCTACCCAGCACAAATCTTAACACACATATCCTCACTAACTCTCTTTCGTCTTCACTGTAATCTGGGTCTCCCATTTCCACTCCTTCCTTACTGGCTGAAATAAAATATTTCTATGAATACCCATCTGACTCTGAGAGACACTTTCAACTAATAGTGAGGTTCACAAAAAACACTATGTTGCCTCATCATAATTTTTAAGTAGCAGAATCTTAAGGTGATTTCTGTTGTGAAGTTTCCATCAGATTAATCTTGATTTCTCTCTCTTTTTTTTTCTTGTTTTATTTTTATCTTTTTTTTCTTTAAATTCTTTCCATAGCTGTAACTTATACAAGTTACAAAAAAACACCACCACCGGTACCCCCTCGTACCACTTCCAAGCCTCTGATCTCAGTCACGGCACAGAGCAGCACAGAATCCACCCAGGATGCCTATCACGACAGCCGGACTCAGAGGATATCCCCGTGGCCGCAGGACGGGCGAGGGATGTACAACTCCACCGACAGTTTGGACAGCAACAAGGCCATGAATCTGGCCTTGGAGACTGCAGCCGCACAGCGCCACGCGGCCGAGGGCCAGAGCACCTCCATACGGACCAGCGACAAGGCCATTTTAGTGACAAAAGCAGAGGAGTTTCTTAAGAGTCGGCGTTCCTCTATAGGGATTCAGGTAGCCTATCATTAACATCTGCCTGTGATGAATTTCTTGTCTTCTGTCTGGAAATAGCATAGAATGAGTCATTCAGCTTCACTGGCTCTAATAATCTAACAAACAACCCCTGGCTGCTTGGTGTTAATTGTGATTCACATCATGGCAGCATGGCTGTGCAGAAAAGTCTTTGGCTAATACACTGTACCTGAAAGAAAATGAATGAATAAATCTCTAGGGAGGTTACCTGTCATTAACACTTGATATGAAAATTATACTGCAGAGCTACAGGTGAACAGCACGTTCATCTCCTTCTCTCTATGAATTCACAGTCCTTTTTATAGAACTATGCCAGCTTCAAAATGCTTGACTCTATTTTTTCCATTATCTTTCTCTTTTGACCTTGGAAAATGTGTAATGCCACTCGATCTTCAATTATTCTCCCTAAAAAGAGCCCCCCTGCCCTTACTTGTAGTTGTGCTGGAAAGAAGGTACCAAGGAAGAGAAAGAAATACAGCATATTTCATTACTTGCCATAGGCAAACACAGTCTTAAAGCATTCTTCCATTTGTCCATCAAAACCCACAATATTTATTTCACCTAAAAAAACATGTGTCAGACTCTGGAAAGCTCAATCAAGTTCTATTGTTTCAGGCAAATGAAATAAGACAATTCCAAATGCAAATTTTGATTGCTATTCCTTCTACTAAATGGAAAATACTAGATAGCTGGCAATGGTCATTTGTTTAAATCTCTAGAATATACCAAGTAGTAATAAAAATCAGAAAGTTGAGCTTGCAGAGAATGTAAAGTCCTTTGAGATAGAAGTAGAAGAAGATTTAGGCTTCTGTTTTGATGAATATTTCCCTTTATATCACTGGGGTTCACTTCTGTGTTAAAAATATCTACTTTTGCTAGATCGACTAGAGAGGAAATGCAATTTATTTTGTTATAGCTATAGGTATTGTGGCAACAGTAACATAGATCTTGAGAAGGTAATAACCCATGTAAAAAAAGCCCAGTGAGTGACTGTGTATTGGAAATATACAAGAATTTACATGGAAGTATATTATTTTCTTTAAAAAATAATTCCATTTCCATTAATTTCACTGTATACTTAGAGAGAACTGTTTGGGTTAAGCATGTAACAGCTACTGATGGAACTTCACAGGTTAACATTTTAGTGTGGTGTAATTTTGCTGTTCCATTATGTATTAGACTAATGGGAAGGAATCAGCTTTGACAGCAACCTGTTTGTCCATTTATTGGCGTAAAAGCGTTTCCTTCTGATTTTTCAGATGCAGAAGGGTAGAATGTAATATAACAACAATGGTAAAATATTCAGATGGATACTTTTCAAATGTTTTACAAAGTAATTAGTGTATCCCCAATTGTTCAGAGAAGGGGCTTAGAGATAACATGGAAAAGCTCAAAGGAGCAGCAAGTAATCTTTGCTACCTTTTAGCCCCTAACCTGAAGCTTACTTTTCAGAAACAAACAGTACCTAGTGTTGTTCTTATCCCTTCTTAACAACAACTGTGCACAATTATATTTATCAGTCTTGGTGTCTTGATTTGGTCACTCCTGATATTCCAGAAATTAATTCTGGAACTTTGATTCCATCACTTGATCTTGTTTATTACTGCAGGTGATGACCAGTACTTTTCACTGGTCTCTGACCCATCTTTATATGTGCTGTGTTTAATAATATGTTCTTATCCACAAAAACACCTGTGCAATGATTTGCGGGAAGGCAGCAGATCTTCCATAGCAACTTGTCATCTGATGCTTGGCCTGTAATAGTGGTCCTCAGGTGCACACATGGAAAAAGTCAAATACTGTTTGCAACAGCAGGTCTTAGAAGGACAAGATATTTGTTATCTTTTGAGAAGTACAAGCTGCTTTCTTGTACCATTTGGCATTAGATAAGATTATATTTGCAACAGTAGCCTGAGAACACATTCTAGTTATTTAGGATTTTTTTCAGCAGTAAGTTTCAAACTTCACATTAGTGAAAAAAATACATTTCTGCAGTATTTTTAAATAGGAAACGCATTTTGTTATATTACTATTGCCAGATTTGTATGGAATGAAAACACAGCGTAGAACATTCTTATCAAACTACACAAATAGAAATTAATGCACTCAAAATACACTTGAAGTATTTAATTTCTTTTAGTCTTCTGCGTCAAAGTACCTTGGAAAAGGATGTTTTTTATTTGCATATTTCCTTGATTGACTAAATAACTTGTTTTCTCATTAGCATTCCATGCCAGGGTAATGCATTGAATTTGCATTTATTTGCATTAATTAATTTGCTATCAGGATGGTTAATTTGTGCATTTCTTAATGTTCCATTCCTTTAACACTTTGATGTGGGAATGCTTGCCAGCAGAGCTTCATACAGGAGCAGAGAGGCACAGAGATACAGAGTGACCAGCAATGCTGCTGTGTGTGGAAATACAATGGACCCAGCCTAGGGCTCCTATGTCTTTGGTTTGTGTAGTGTGCATGTAGTGAATAGAAGTCCCTTTAGAAAGTCCTGGCATACTAATGCATGTGCCAATAGGATTGGTATTCACATGCACAGAGAGCTCATGATCCTTGGGAAGCGCTGGACTTAGTATGAAGATCAGTAGCACCCTGTCTGCAGAGACAGAGAACAGCACAAATACAGTAGCCCATCTTACAGTAGGTTAGTCCTATCTCACATGGGAATTTTGAGATAAAAATAAAAAGAAAGCTTCAGAAACAAAGCTTTTCCAGCTGGTGGGCTTTGGGGATTTTTTTTGGTTTTGGTTTTGTTTTTTCATTATCATATTTAAATCAAAAGGAATATTGTCAGACATGTCAGTAGGCACTGGGAAAAAAATGTTGATTTCTAAATTCAAATGAAGTACAAAATACTGATTTTGAGATTAAAAATTTAGTCAGAAATATTAAGAATATATTTACATATAAAGAATAAAACTCTTGTAACATTAATAGCAATAAACTTCATATCTGTCTTCTGTCATGACAGCAAAAGACTAATCAAAGTATTTGAATTAAAATGGAAAGTAGAGATCATCAAGAGTAAAATAACCTCTATGTTAGAACGAAGTTGTTGCTAAGATATTTTCCAGGATTTTCCTTACTCTTTTGCCCACTCTGATATATATGCTAATGATTAACATTCAAAATCTGCTCTAGTTATAAACCATTTCATATTAATAGCATTTGGAATGGGAAATATATGAGAAAACATGTCAAGAAATTGTTCCTTATTTATTTCAAGTATTTCAAAATGTACAGTCCTCTGTCAGTCTTCTGAAACATGCGGTTTCTTCTCTATTTAAAAGACATCAAGGCTTCTCAAAATGAACAGACACCCCATAAATGAATGAGATGGAAATGAATGTTCTAGGTGTGAAGGCTGATTCATGGTGGTATTTTTGGAGACAAACACTAATTGTAGTGTAGAGAATGGACTCTGTCATCTTCATTTATCATCAGGAAATGACACTTCAAAATACCTAGTGGTTTTTTTATAATCTCCGGAATCTACATTAAACAAATCATTCTTATGAATCAAAGGCTGTATCCAGGAGGATTAGTGCAATAATTGGCCTGCTGAATTTTTTTGTGCCAAAAGGAGATCTTCTGGATAATGCTTATATATATATTTAGTAACATTATTCATGTCAAATGGTAAAAACTTTGTTCCCAATATTCTTTAGTCTCAAACTGAAATTTCCCTTTAACACAAAGCATTTTTTACCCCCATGGCACAGGTACTCAGATGAGCATCTACATTTTTTTGCACTGTTTAGGTTATAACATCCTTGTCAGTGCTCTACTTCAGTGTACGCATATCCATCAAAAGAAATATTCTCATTGATTACACTGGTCTTTGGATCATAAATGATCCAAAGTTCTAGAAGTAAGTGTTGTTCATTGCCCTCCTAAAATGACTGTCAGATCGTGCTTTTGTGAGAGAAGTGTGTGAAGTCCTTGGCCTGGAGAAGGCAGTGAATATTTGTTGGTTCAGAGCAATTTGCTACTTAGCATTAATTGCACTAAAAAAGTTATGAGCAACCTCTAATCTGTGCATTAATTTCTTGCTACACTTTCATTTTATTTTGACATGCATCCCACTTCTAAACTCTGTCAGGTATTGTTCGCAAAAAAATTTTCAACCCGTTGTATGATATTCTTGTGGTAATTAGCACTTGCTGTGCCGTGCCATGTATTTGAGTAGTCCAGATGTTCTGTTGGGAAGTAGTGGAGCAGCAAAATCGAGTTCTGTGGTGAGGCACAAAAAAATCTCTCAAGCATGAAAGTGTAGGTTTATTTTAGTGGATTTCTAAAAATCATTTTGAAAGAGTATACCTTTTTTGTCTGATAAAATATTCCATCACTTAAGGAAAGCAGTAACAGTGAGTACTGTAGTTTTATTTGAAGTATTTTCCCTACTTTGAAGTCACTGCATACAAATGAGATTTCCCTCTACCTAAGAATGGTTATCTGAATTAACAACTACATGTACTTGATCTAATGTCAAATATAGTGTTTTCTACCCGTTTTTACTCTTGTTATCACTGAGAAGCCTATGCAAGAGAGGAAGGGTGAATTATTTCCCTTCCTGTACATCATCAGAGATTGTTTATTAAATTCTAATAATAGAATAAATTGGTTACATCAGTGAAAACCCACTGAGGGCACTGAAGTCGCATAGGGAGAGATAGTGTGGCCTGAAGGACTCTTACTACTAATGTTTATGAGAGATAAGTGAAAGTCACCAGGTTAAAATCTGTTTTCTTATGCATTGAATATATTAACTTCAAGTATCTCTTAGAGACAGTATGTATGGAAGCTTAGACTGGAATTTTTAAGACACTGCAATATTATGTTGCAGTGTCCATGTTTAAGTGCTTGTGTTTAAGAGCAGAATAATGCTATAATACAGAAATAAAGGTTGGTTTTAAATAATTAAAGTTATCAGCTAAAAAAGCATAGTAAATGCTTTGAAGGAATAATTT